CCAATGTCAGGCCAAATAGGCTTTTAGTCTAATGAGAGACACTGGCAATGCCCAACGATCGATTTGCAACAGGAGCGATTTGCAGCTAGGAGAGTGGCGAATGGATGTTAGCGAGTGGCAATTAAAACACCTGACTGAGCATAGTAAGTGGCGAGAGGTATGTGACGAGTGGGTGTGTGGCGTCGGACAAGAGAACAAGCAGACTTAACAAAGTTTTATCAAGTGCAAGCTAAGCGTAAAGAGCGCAGCAAATAAGTAGCAATTGATGCGAGAGCGAAAAGACAAAGCAAACTAAGCAACATAGCAACAAATAGCGAACGACGAGTGAGGCACAGCTGGTAAACAAAGTAGAAAACAATAAGATATTGAGCAGATTTGGCAGATACATGCATAAGGAATTAACAAACAACGAGTAGCGAGAAATGAGGGCGTAAACAGACTTAGTAGCGAGTCCATAAGCGACGAGTAACGAGTGATGAGAGAGAAAGTAGACAAACTAATCGGGGCATAGTAAAATAATAAGCAGCGAGTGACAAGTGGCGAGTGATATGCGTCGCGAGTGGCGACTGATCTGAGAGAATGTAAACTTAATAGATCGAGCCATAGTGAATTTATAAGCAGCGAGTAGCGAGTGGCGAGTGGTGAGAGCGTAGCGAATCTAAAAGCGACGAGTAGCGAGTGATATGAGAGAAAGTAGACTTTACAGTTTGATGGCTAAGCGGACTAAGCGAAGCGAATCCATAAGTGACGAGTAGCCAGTGGCAAGCGTTTAAGGAGTATGAAAACGCAACATGAGGCAACGAATAGTTCGTAGATGTAGCTTGATGTCGCAGAGGCAACAGTCAATTAGCAAAATATGTTGAGAGTGACGAGAGTGTGGGTAACATATGCGATTGGTTGTGTGCGGGTGCCACGCCCAACGGCAGATCAAAGGATCAATCAAATGTGAACATTATGAGAAAGCAATGAAAATTCCAATTTGCATTGGCGCAAAATGTCTGAAGCAATGGAAACACCCGCGGCCCGCCTCAAGTGTGCCAAATGCGATAAAACTTTTTAAATGCATTTCAAGTGGATGCCGAACATCAAACAAAACAACAGAACAGACCGAACAACAACAGCAATAACGAGTTAGGGGGGAACGAGAACGAGTACGAGAAAAGGCAGCGAGTAGCGAAAAGGACGAGGCAAAAGGCTTTTAGACCACAGTCCTATGAAGTGGGCGCTCTGCTCTCTGAATCTGCATGCACATATGTATTATAAATAGTCACACACACACACACACACACACACACACACACACACATACATGCACATAGGTAGACAGAGGGGAATTTAGTTGAGGGGCTTGGGGGTTGGTCCAAGTGGCATTTGTGATTTATGCGACGTCTCTTTGAGGCTGAAGTGCAGATTACATTATAAATATGAAATAATACGAGTCGGCGCACAGGTCCTTGAGTACATGCGAAACGGAAATTGAAATTCGTGATCAAAAAAAAAACACACACACTCAAGAGAAAACAAAATGGAAAGAGATTAGAAGAAAGTTGGCTAAAACAAATAAATCGCAGCCGATTGCCGAAAGTAATATGAGCTTCAGCGAATAGCTTTAAAGAAAATATTCAAAATGGAAAACTTTGAATTAGTTTTGATACTTAGTATGCAATTGCTTCCTCCATAAGCGTATTTTCCGATAGCATAATATATCGATAGGAAAATATGCGACCCTCGAGATCTGACTTATAAAGAGACAGAACGAAGTTAGATTTTGATTGTCAGGAAAGTATATACAAGGAAAAATATAAATTTAAAACAATTATATGCATTGGACAAAAATATGCAAACGCGAAAATGTCTAAGGAAAATAAATAGCATAAAGACCAATTCGGATTTAAGAGCTGTGTTGGTAAACGTATTTCTTATAGAGACCAGGGCTGCATAAAGTAGTCATAAATTATTCAAATCTCATTTTTTTTCTTTCAATTGGACTTTGGCCCAACATTTTTGAAGCAGATATTTGCAATATGTATTCAAAATATTTGCTGGATGAATTTCTAAAGTCGTGAATATTTTCATATGGAAATTACGGGCTACATTTGAGCTCTTACCAAAATTGACACACCGACGATTTAATACCCTGCCTTGCATAAGCTCGACTGTGGATGCTCAACTAGAATATATATATGTTCATATATATACACAGATTTATAGATATTATACATAAATATTAAATATTCAATTAAGAAACTAAATGACAGCAATAAAAACGATAATGGCAGCAAAAAATGTGATTTATTAATTCAACCGCAAAGTGAGATAAAAAAAAACGAATAAAATGAATAAAGCAAAAAAATGCATTAGGACAACGCGGCGTATGATTAATGCAATTAATGCGATTGCAAATGCAAGCGTTAAACTCTTCGCACAGAGAACGAGAGAGAGAGAGAGGAAGGAAGAGGCTGAGAGAGAGAGAGAGAGAGAGACGTGACAGAGTGTGCTAATTAAACGCTGCTTTGGGCCCCAAAAAAGCCAATTGCGACGTCTGCCTGGGAGGGGGTGGTGGGAGGAGGGGGGAAGGAGGAAGGCGGGAGCTGAAACCCAATTGCAAGCCAAGCAGTTCAATGAAATGGCATATTGATTATGCAATTGTTATGCAATGCGACTAATTAATCACAACTGCAGCAACTGGGGCACAAGAGGAGGGGTGACAGTGGCAGAAGGGGTGACAGGGCGCAGTTGGCAGGGGGCAACCGGCTAATCGATATTGCGAGGGGAAGCTGCTTAATTAACACGGCCAACTTTCGACAACAATGCGTGCAATTTGGAGCCCAGGCGCCACTCTGTCGAGCTGGGAATGGGGAGCAGGGGTAGCAGCGGGGGAGAGTGGCCGGGTGAGAATGGGGGAACTGGAAAGCCAATTTAGGGGCCAGCGACAAGCGAAGGCAACTTTTGGAAACGGAGGGCATCAATATGTAAAATGCCACACCATGAATGCACAGAGAGAAAGTGGAGTCAAGAAATGGAAACCAAATTGCAATTGTACACGAAATGTGGCATAGATATGTCAAATATCTGGCAGATATATGGCAGATATGTGCCAGATACATTTCAGATATATGCCTGATATAGCTTTGTAATGGGTGATGGGAAGAAATACAAAGTTCAACCAAATATTTTCCAGTATTATTAATAAAATTGAAAATAATAATAAAACTGATAATATTAATAATAATAATAAAAATGAAAGCAAAAACAGCTAAAATGATTCAAATATTAGCAATAATTATTTTAGTTTCCGACTATTTACGTCGCAAAAGTTGAATTATAATAATTAACATTTTAGTTATATCTTCAAATGTTTTTATTTACGTTCAAGCTTTAAGAAACCAAAATTCGGAATTGCCGTCTTAAACGATTTAAGCCCTAGTTAAAAGAAATCTTAAGAAATAAGTTGGCAAACTAATTTTTTACTAGCTCATTATTTTCATTAATTTTCCTAAACATGCGAATCATGCTCGATCTTCGGATACTCTCTATCAATAGATATTGTGACAGCGCTTCGACCTGGCCCAGAAACCTGCTTAGAGATCGTGTGATCAGTCGATCAGTCGATCAGTCGATCAGTCGATCAGTCGATCAATTGATCAATTGATCGGGCGAGCTTGGCATATTTCGCTGGTAAACAGAATGCGGGCAATTCGATAGGCGGCAGTTATCGAATTGCGTAAACAATCGAATTTGCGAATAGTTTAAACAATTTGCGCACAGTGGCTGCAAACAATTGTCGCACAGTGACCGTATTGCATGTCGGCCAATATTATAAACAAAAACAAAAATACAAAAAAAAAAAATATAAAACGTGAAATAGTAATAAAATCACGTAAATCAAAGTCGCACACACACACACACTCACACACACACATGCATTTAGACGCACGCATACAGGTCGCTGCAGTGTGGCCCGCCAAATTGGCGGCGCAAAACAAACTGAAATTGCGGCCGCTGCGCGCCTAGCAAAGGCCACAATTAACACACACGTGCACGCACACAGGCGCACATTGCGACTCACACGTATAGTGTGCACAGTGTACGTGTGCCGCCTTCCAGGCGAGAGTGCAATAGCATGCGGCGCCTCGCTTGAGTGCGTGCGAGATAGCAAGCACTTGTATGGCACGCATTACCCCTGCAATTGGAAAGCCAGCATAGCGCTGCGCAGGCGAGAGCGAGATGGCTAGCGCAGTGGCTATGCTGCCATCTCGCTGCCACGCAAAGATGGCGTAGCGAACGACAGCAGCAGCAGCAGCAGCAGCAGCAGCAGCAGCAGCAGCAGCAGCAGCGGCAGCAGCGACAGTGGCTGCCAGCAGCCAGCGGCAGATCTCAGTCGACATTCGGCAAGCGGCGAAGCAGTTGAAGCGCTACCCCGGCGACGGCAAAATCAAGTACGCAAGGCGTGTGTGTGCGCCATATACAGAGGCAACGTGCGTTGGCGTTGGCGTCGCAGCTGGCGCCGACAGCGACAGCGACGTTGACGTTGTCGTGACGCTTTTGCTCGCGTGCAGCGCGCGCTTTGGTTTCAGTTCGTTTTCGTACGTTGTCCACGCCGAACGCAAACGGTCAGCGCCCACACACAAGCAGAACAAGAGACAGTCAGACGACGTCCAGTTGAGCACACGCACGCACACACACACACACACGTGTACTGGTACTGGCATTAGCATTGCCTGAGCAAAGCTCTCTGCTGGCGTTACGCATTCTTGTTTGTTGTGTTGTGTTGTCGTGTCTTGTGCTTCAAATTAAAAAAAAAAAAAAACAAGAGAAAAACAGTTAAACAGTTAAACACACACACACACACACAGAGACGATATTCGGATTCGAATTCGAATCGAATTGGATTAGCAGAGGTGAAACATTTTGGACTTGATCGAATATTGTTTATATTGTGTGTTCGATATATTTTTTTTTGTTGTTGTGTGCCGCACATGTGCGACAGTGTGTGTGTGTGTCTGTCTGCATGTGCGCGCGTATGTGTGTGCTGATTTTTTTTTGTGTTCCTCTATTCGTGTGAGCTATGTTAACCGTTAGCTGAACAAGTGCAATAAACCGTTATAATAGGCGAACTTTGCACGCTTCGAACGCTTCCTCTTACCGACGGCAAAATGCAAGCAACCAAAATGCGAACACCCTTTGCCATACAGGAGATCCTCGGCCTTGGCGTCGGCGTCGGCGTCGGTGCCTATCAACAGCAGCAGCAGCAACAGCAGCAACAGCAGCAGCAGCAACAATCGTCGCAGGCAGCTGCCGCTGCCACGCCCAGCGCCAACGAGGCGCCACTTTCACCGGCCGCCACGCCCCCGCCGCGTAACGCCAACACGCCGCAACAGTCGGCGGTAAGCAGCAGCGCCCAAAACGCAGCCCAAACGCTGGAGCAGCAACAGCAGCAGCAACAGCAGCAGCAGCAGCAGCAGCAGACGAGCTCCCGCGATTCCCGCTCCATTTCGCCGGACGTGACACGTTTGTCGGCGGCCGCTGCAGCCGCCGCCGCAGCCGCTGCCGCCCATTGCCAGCTGCCCGTCTTCAATCCGGCGAATTTCTATGCTGCCGCCGGCTATGCCGCTGCCGCCGATCCGGCCAATGCAGCGGCCGCCCATCATCATCATATGACGACGCTGGCGGCGGCTGCCTATTTGCGCGGCTTTCTGCCGCCCGGCTTCAGCACGCCCCACGAGTTTCGCGGCCACTTTCAGCAGCATTTCGGCGCCCAGTTTGCAGGTGAGTCAGAGGCTTAGTTGGCGAGCTAGTTGCATTTGCCGTTATAACGCGTCCAAGTAACGGCTAATTAAATGACGCGCGGCGACAAGGACAAAAGCTGCACAAAAAGCTTTGTCTTTGCGTTCGCACACTGCGTCGAACGGAGAGAGGGGGCGAGGGGCGCAAGAATGAACGACCGAACCGAAACACAACGAAAGCAACCAACTGGCAAACTGAACGAACCCGCGAACGAGCGGGCGGGCGGGCGTGCGGGCGGTCGGTCGGTCGAACCACTCTTTAGGCGCAGCTCTAATAAGCTCAAGTTGAGGGCCGCAGCTCGCTCCGAAAAGGGGTTGCCAGATGCGGTGCAGGCCGCGTTTCTTCGCCTCGTTGGGCAGGCAACAATTAAAACAATAAAACGACAAATTAAACACAAGTCGCTGGTGCGGGCAAGGTAGCGGGGAGAGGGAGGGGGGTGTCTAGAACGTTGTTATGATTAGGATAAAGGGTGCACATAGAAGCTTATTAATAACACACCGACACACACACACACACATATAGGCAGCGACTGAAGTGTGTGTGTGAGATTTCACACTTCTCTCGGTGAGCCACTCAGTGCATCTGTGTGTGTGTGTGTGTGTGTGCGTGTGTGTGTGTAGCGCTAATTAAGCACATAATTATCGAAGCTCATGCATTGCCGCAATTGCACTCCAATATTTATCCAATATGAATCCAATTCGAGTCCAATTCGAATCATCAATTGTTTGCCAATAAAGCCAGAACAAAGAAAATGCGAGAGTTGACAAACGTTTATTATGGAAATATGTTATAAAAAATCGTTTAACTAACTCGAATGGGATCTAGCTTGTATAACAATTACTTTTGACAAAATAATGAGAATTTGGTAATATGATTACATAATCATATTAAAAAGAAATTATTTTAAGGATTAAAGTAAATTGTTTTTGAAAAGAAAAATAGTGAAAAATGCGATTTTCTAAATATTAAAAAAAATAAACTTACGATTTTTGCCATATTCTATTAGAGCAAGAGCTTACTGTGAGGAAACCCTTAACAATTTCGCGAAACTTTAAACTATAGCAATAATATTTTTACATTTAGAATGTGAGTTACAGAAAGAAAAATACAATTTCCTTCATTCGATTTAATCAACTTTAAAAAATGTGAATTTAAGCATTTTTTCTATATCATTTTTTGATTTTCGTTTTTTCCATTTATTTCTTGACAAAATCATAAAAGAAAATGCCAAAAGCAAAAAAAGAAATATACATATATATAATATTTACAATTATATATACAATATTATATTTATAATTGGGAAAGTACGTCAAATCCAACATTATATAATATATAGATATATTCTATAATAGTTGTTCTAAACCGAAGAATTATTGGATAAGATTTTTTCCGCCGATTTCCGTTTATTTCTTTGCCTAGTCCAATTTTTGAACATCTGCGCTTTTTAGAGGGGCTTCACTGTACTCAGGATCTTGCAAGAAATATTTCAATGCTAACTCGCACAGAAAATCATGTTTTTTTTCAAGCTTGACAACTATTTCAACAGCTAAAAGTGTGTGAAGCATTATTTAGATGATAATTTACTTGAAAATCGGAAATTTCATGCATATAAAATATTATCATCTTTCGAGCGATTTCGCCTACAGAGATATAAGATAAAGCAGGCCGATGCTGATAAGATTATTGTCTATATAAAGGGAGCATAATTTTTGATGAAAAACAAACGAATTGGTTTATGGCGGAATATAATTTTCCGTATGATACAGTAGTTCGATTCGTTCGAGTTATCATGAGTAATTATTCAAATTGCTTTAAGATATATCTTAATATATAATTATCTAAATATTATGCATTTGCTTAAAATATTTCATATATTAAAATATTTATTTAGACTGTTTTTAATTAACCAATATCTCTTGATGATAATACTATATAATAATATATTAAATATGATAAGAATATCCTTACTTTTATAGATTAAGCACAGCGAAAAGGTTTTCCATTTGAATGTAAGGTAATTCTCAAAGCCCCATTCCCCTCCCTCCTTCTCTCTCTCTCTGGCTTCCTCCCTTTCTCAGATCTTAACTTTAATCTGCTACTTGCTGCTTCTTCATCTTTTTAATCTAATTTGCTATTCAATTGTATAAAGTTCACCTTTCGGGCCTTGTCATCTTTTGTGGCCCATATCGTTTGTTAGTTTATTTGCCTTAGTGGTCACGCCCACACACACACACACACACACACACATAGAGCGAGAATCGCACACACATTTATTTGAATTGCTTTTGACCACAGCTACCTATTACACACACTCACACACACACACACACATACCCCTCTTTTCACGCTTTCGTGCGCTCTCTCTCGCGCTCGCTCTTTATTTTGTCTGCTATCTCTTTCGCTTGCATCCTTAAATGTTTGTGCTGCTGCCCACACACACACACGGGGCACACACGCACTTAATTTCTTCAATTTTCACACTTTTGCTGCTGCTTCTTCTTCGACTTTGCCTTTGTTGTTGCTTTCACTGTTGACCTTTCCGCAGTCTGCTGCAGCGTCTTCTTCTACTGCTGCTGCTTCTACTGCTGGTGCTGCTGCTGCTGCTATTTGCTGTAGGGCCACATTTTGTCTGTTTGCATAACAAAGTTTTCTTTCAGTGTAGTTGTTGTTGTTGTTGTGGCAAACGCTTCGAGCCAAGTTGAGCTGTAAAAAAGGCAACGTCTTGTCCTTTTCTATGGCCCGAGCACAATGGCCCCAGCAGCAGCAGCAGCAGCAGCAGCAGCAGCAGCAGCAGTGGCAATGGCATTGGCCATGGCGCTAGTTGTGTACAAAATAAATCGACTCGAGTGGTTAACCGCAGCGCAGGATCTAAAGAAGCTAAAGCAGTGGCAGGAGCAGGAGTCAGCAGCCAGGAGGAGCTGGGGTGCGTTGGGTGCAGTAGCATATCCTTTTACTGCAAAATTGCTACTTTGCTGCTGCTGCTGCTGCTGCTGCTGCTGGTGGCTCGTCACGTTGTTATCCTTAATTTGAGTGGCCATTGAGCAGCCGAGCAGGACAAACGTCCATGGCCAGCGGCGCAATATGGAGCATACTTTGCAGCTGCTGCTGCTTCTGCTGCTGCTTCAGCTTTGGTCCCTTTTGCTTTTCTTATTTTAATAAATATTTACTTGAAAGTCATGCCACGACCTGCGATACCGACAAGTCCTGCTAGTGTCCTGCGACCTGTGTGTGTGTGTGTGTGTGTGTCCCTCTGCCTCATGCTGCGGCAATGTTGTTTTTCTTCTCATTGTTGTTGTTGCTCAAAGTCACATCGAGAGGCCTTACGCTGGTGTTTGGGTTCGTTTTTTTTTTTTTTTTTTTTTTTTTTTTTTTTTTGGACTCTTCACCTGAGGATCGCTGTCAGCAGCTGGCGGCACTTGTCCCACGCCCATTGTGCCTGCTCTTCTACTTCTTCTTGTTGTTTGTTTAATGGCCGCAACTATTTTTCACACATTTGCGTTGCCCAAGAAGATGACAAACAGCCAGCAAAAGGGCAATAAGCCTGGCTAACTGGCCAAGAGACTCGACTTGTTGTTGTTGTTGTTGTTGCTCATTGTTTGGCCTGAGTCATTGGGCATTTTGTTTTGTTTTGTTTTTTTTTTTTTTTCTCAGTTAAAGCGTAAGTGGATTTGTCTTAATGGCAAATAATTGCGCTCCAATTGGTTTTGTAATTGGGTTTTCATCATAAATATAGTATACATATATAAAGCCTCACATTTATATTCTGTTTCTTAACTTATCTTTTTTTACTGTTGCTCTATCATAAATAGGCAGCTCTGCAAAATATCTTATCCAAAATATATATCCTATGCAATGTCTTTCTATATCCATATCTAAGTGTATATTATGCAAACTCTGATCATTTCTCATCTGTTCAAGCATTGCTCAGCTCTTCAGCAATTGACCTTTATAAATATATATATATATATATATATATATATATCCTGGTTAATTGCTAGCATTATTTCATTTTGCACATAATTGATCCTATAACCGCATTGTGACAGTCCCTTTTGTATTACTAATTGACCCATTTGATGCCTATTAAATATCCATATTTTGTGCCTACTCTGCTGAACCTTTGCTCTATCGCATTTGTGAAATCAAGTCCATTATGCTCTCGCATCTGCCACGCGTGTTGTCGGGTGAGCAAAAAAGGAACCGCATTAAAATCAATCGCACCAATTTTTGACAACTACAAAAAAAATGTTCAAAAAACCCAAAAACTAAACTCAAATTCTTAAAGAATAAAACGCGATAAGAATCAGGCTGAAAGAAGCAGCAGGCGGCGAAGGGCGTGCTCTACAGATATTTGTGATATTATCGCCCAGCCGCACTTCCGAAATGTCCCCTAATGAAAGAGAGAGAGAGAGAGAGAGAGGGGGGGGGGGGGGGGGGGAGAGAGTGCGCATTTCCTGCCAGCTCGGACAAAGGTAATTCGATAGTTTTTCGCACATTTTTGGGAAACTAATGTGGAAATTGTTGTAGAAAATTGCTATATCAAGTGTTAATTATGTGACAATGAGTCGGCCAAAAAGCAAGAGGGTAAGACAGCCCGAGAGAGTGGCTAGAGCAGAGGGGGGGGGGGGGGGGGGGGGGGGGGGGGCTATATTTATGTTTTGATAATAATTTTTGTAATTGGAAAACTACAAGTTCAGTTTTCACGAAAAGCCGGACCAAAGCAAACAACCGAAACGTAAACAAATGAAACGCAAAATAAAATTAAAAAAGAAAAGAAAAGAAAAGAGAATTTCCCCGAAACGGCAGAGAGCCAGCCGCAAGTGGCACGAACTGAACTGCTGCATAAACACAGCGCAGTTGCAATTGGATGTGGATGTGTCTGTGGCTGTGTGGAATTGAAATTGTGAATCGGAGGAGCGCATTTGTGGCAAGTGAAAGAGTCGAAACAAATTGATGACAACAAGTGGCAAGTGGCAAGTGGC